GAACTAGTGTTAGAATTATTAAATACTTAGATTAATGGCAATTAAGTTAGTTTAGGCTTTATCTGAAGAATACAAAAATTGATTGTGAAAGGAAGAATTTCTCCTTGGGATACTGAACTTTATTCAAAAGAGAAAATGACAATAGTTAGGAGTTAATGAACTTAGTTATTAGTGGGAGACACATAAAATAATTTTTAAAACATATTAAAGTTCCTTCTTATCAAGAATCAAAATTAAGAAATAATTATTGAGGAAAATTGTTATGATGTTGGAAGTTATGCCACGATAACTGAAAACATCAGCAAGATCATAAGAAAGATTCTGTATTCTCCTCTTGATTAACTAATGAAAATCTTATGGATCACACTGGACATCATCTGAATCACTTACTGTGGACACATAATCAAGAGAGATCAACTGCTGTAAGAGAACAAAAGGGTTAGTGAAGTAGATGACCAAGGCAGGCAAGGAGACTCTTGGTGGGAGAGACTGGCACAGTAGCCACAATCAGGCATCATAAGGATGATGCAGTACAGGACAATCATTTCTTCTGTTGCACATAATATTGTTATTTTTGCTGTTAACTGTCATCAAGTTGACGCTGACTCACAGGGATCCCTTGTGTAATAGGTAGAAATACTGTCTGGTCTTCTCCTATCACACAATCTCCACTACACTTCAGCCCACTGATACAGTCAATGTGTTAATATATCTCATTGAAGGGCCTCCTTGCCTACTCCAAAGTTCCACCTCTCAAGTATGATGTCCCTTTCCAAACATTGGCACTTCCTAATACCTGATCACATGCCCAAAGTACATGCGATGAAATGCCACATTCCTGACCCCGAAGGAGCACTCTGGCACTGCTTCCAAGACAGATTATTCTTTAGCAGTCCATGCTATATTCACTATTCTCTACCAATATCACAATTCAAAAATGTCTATTCCTCTTCAGTCCTACTTAGTTACTGTCTAGTTTATTAAGCAACAGAAGCAATTGAAAATACCACATAGAGACTGGATGAACCTTTGTCTTGAAACCGATAGACATACTTTTTAACATTTTAAGGAGGTTTTGGGAAATAGATTCACACAATAGAACACATCCTTTGATTTCCTGACTACTATTTCCATGAATGTTGATCGTATATTCATATAAAATTAAATCAATGACAATTTCAATCATTTCTCCGTCATAGTGATGACTATTAATCCAGTGGTGAGATTTTTGTTTTCTTATGTTGAGATGTAATCCATATCAAAGGCTGAAGTCTTTGATGTTATTCAGTAAATGCATCAAGTCTTCTTTCTGCAATCAGGATTGTGTCATATGCATCACACAGATTGCTGATGAGACTTCCTCCAATTCTGATGCCACATTCTCTTTCACATAGTCCAGCTTCTTGGCTTATTTACTCAGCATACATATCAAATAAATATGGTAAGCAGACAGAACCGTGAAACCCACCTTTCCAGATTTCAAAATATGCTGTATTCCTTTGTTGTAGTCAAAACTATCATAGTCTGCTTGATTACTGGTATCTATCTATCTATCTATTTACCTAATGAAGAATAATAGTAGGACATGTGCTTAATAACGAAGTCAGTTTTGTTGTTGCTGTTATGTGCCATGGAGTCATCCAGGACACATTTCAACCCTAGGTACAATAGCTCTGAACCTTGCCCTATCCTAAGCAATCTCACTGACTATGACACACCTAATACTACTGACCTGGTTAACCTGTCAATCCACCTAACCCAGGGTCTTCCTCTTCTGCACTGTTCCTCTACCCTTGCAAGCATGATACCTTTTTCCAAGAACTGGTTTCTCCTGGCAACATGCTCAAAGGATGTGAGACAGAGCTTCCATATCCTTGTCTCCAAGGAAATACTTAGTTTCACTTACTCCAAGACAGACTTGTATGTTCTCCTAGAAGCCCAGGGTGTGTTCAATACCCTTCTCCAGCACCATGACTCTAAGGCATCAATTTTCGGTCATCCTTAGCCATTGTCCATTCATTCCTCTAATGCATAGTAAGTCAATACAAAGTTCATGGCCTGGATGAGGGGCACCTTAGTCTCTAGACTGACATCATTATTCTTCAGCACTTTAGAGAAGTCCAGGATAGTAAACTTCCCCAATGCAATCACCTTTTGATTCCCTTACAGCTGGTGCCAAGAGTGTTGATTGTGGAACCGCATAAGCTGAAATTGTTAACAACCTCAATCTCTTCTCTATGCATCATGATGCTACCAATTGGTCCAGTCATGAGAATATTTGTCTTCTTGGGTTAAGCTTCAATTCATATTGAAGACTACAGTCCTTGACCTTCTGCAGCAAATGTTTCAGGTCCTATTCAGTCTCTGCAAGCAAAGTTGTATTATCTACATAACATAAGTTGTTGATGAGTCTTCCTCCAATATTGGTGCCACATTCCTCCTCATAAAGTCCAGCCTCTTGAATGATCTGTTCTGCATACAGACTGAAAAGGTATAGAGACAGGACACATCCTTGACACATTTCTAATTTCAAAGCATGCAATGTTTACTTGCTCTGTTCTGATAACTGCCTTCTGGAGCACTGTCAAGTGTTCTGGGATTCCCATTCTTTTCAAGGTTAGCCACAATTTGTTGTGGTCTAAACAGTCAAATACCTTTGAATAGTCAATGAAACACAGACAGACATTTCACTGGTACTCTTCAGCTTTCAGCTAATATCCATCTGACATTGGCGATAAAGTCTCTAGTGCCACAGCCTATTCTAAACCTAGCTTGGATTTCTGGTAGTTCTCTAATGTACTGTTTCAGACATTTTTGGAAAATCTTCAGCAGGGTTTAGCTTTTGTGTGATATTAGTAATATTGTTTGGTAATTTCCATACTCAGTCAGATCACCTTTTTTAAAATTTTTATACATTGGTTTTTTTTAATTAATTTCAATGAACATTTACAGAGGTTTTGGATTTCCAGTCATTCATTGTTGCACTTTTCTCCCCGTCCACCCCACCCCCACCCGCAGTTCGCTCTTCTCTTTGAAAAGTAAAAGAAAATTCCTTCATTGGTATACAATCCCTCCGCACCCCCCCACTCCCAGCCCCACCGCAAATATACTCCACTCAGCAACATTCATTCCGTACTCTTATGATAATCATAATATGCCCTAAAATATACTGCTTTTTGCACCTTTTTTTAAAAATACTGGTTTAAATTAAAAGTTCTTTTACACTGTTATTCACACCAGATCTTTCCCATTTCCTTCATCCCCCTTGCACCCATCAAATTATGCAAGCCTATGATTGACCACCCTCCACCATGCCTGCCCACCTTCTGCACTCTCCTTTCCCTCACTCCTTCAGATCCTCATACCCATTCTCCAATAATGGTTTTATACAGTATTTGTCCTTATGGAACTGAGTTAGTTCACTCAGCATAATGCTCTCCCGTCCCTCCCAACTTAGGTAGTGATTTATAAACTCATTGCTCCTGCGTGCTGCGTAGTATTCCATCATGTGAATGTACCATAAATACTCAAAACATTCAGTTGTGGTTGGACATTTGGATAGTTTCTATGTTCTTGTGATGGTGATTAATGCTGCAATGACATTTTTTTTTTGTTTTTTGTTTTTTTATTGTTTTTTTTAAAGGAATAAAATGGATCTCTTCCAGTCAGTTGGACATGAAGTAATTCTACAGATTTCTTAGCACAACCTGGTAAGCACATCTAGGGCAGCATGTTTGTTGCAATATGTCAGTTGGTATGCCATCAATTCCTACAGCCTTGTTTTTTGCCAATTCCTTCAGAGCAACTTGTACTTTCTCCTACATCATCATTGCTTCTTGATCATATGTTGTTTCTTGCTTCATATGAAACTTCTTGTTTCATATAAAGTTCTTCTGTCAGCCCATTATTCTTGGTACAATGACTCTGTGTACTCCTTCCATCTTCTTTTAATGCTTCCTGGATCACTCAATATTCTGCCCATAGCATCTTTTGGTATTGTAACTTGAAGTCTGAATTTGTTCTTCAGTTCCTCAGCTTAAGAAATTCTGAGTGAGTTTGTCCCTTTAGATTCTCTGACTTCAGCTCTTTGCACATTTAATTTTAGTGCTCTGTTTCATCTTCCCATGAACACTTTGAAACAAAGTGAACACTTTCCAAATGACACCTTGAAATCTTCTATTCAGCTCTTTAATTTTTTTTTCCCTTTGCTTTGGCTTCTCAGCACTCTAGCGCAATATCTATAGTCTCTTTCTACATCCATCTTAATATTTTTTTCTTCCTGTCTTTTGCCTTCTTCCTGGATGATATTCTTGATATCCTCCCATAGCTCATCTGGTCTTCATTCATTAGTGTTCAATTTTTTAAACCTGTTCTGAGATGTTTTTCAAATTTAACATATCAATGAAAAAAATTCTCAAACTGTTCCTTGGGTGGGACGCTAGCCTGCCTATGATTCTACTAAAAGTTCAGAACTAGTAATTATTGCTTATTATTAATGAATTCACCACATTCTAGAAATCATATTTAATATTTAACATAGTTCGTAAGTGGCAAAAAGAGCTTTACCAAGTCTTAGATGTGCTTCCTTCTTGCTTGTGATAAGGCCATAATCATACTACTGAATAATTTAATATTTTTCTCCTCAAATAGAACAGAGAAACTGAAGCTTTTCAAAGACCAGCATTGTTACTGCTTCAAGTGCTTGGGTTCCTCAAAGCTGACATTCTGTGAAGTAATCTTTTTCAAAATACTAAAAAAAGTCCTAGCTTTATTTTGACCTTTGGAATTCAGAGGGTTTATGAATGCAATTTTTTGACTACTGAAAAAAATTGTCCAAAATGGCAAAGATGACTCCATCAAGGGGAGGGAGGGGGCCAGCACCAGAATAAAAGACCTAATATTGAATTAAAAAATACATTGAAAAGTATACTTTTTTACTTAGTAATTCCAGAAACACATATTCCAGATTAGCAGCTTCTAATTTTTTTGTTGATACCAACCTCCATTCTTTTAATTCCCCCAACTCCTCGACCACCGTAATAGGATGCATCAACAGTTGGCCATTTCTTGTTAGGCAGAAATTCTTCTTCCTCCTTTGTCAATGTAATTTAAACAAACAAGCAAAAAAAGATATTTATTTTTAAAATATTGTTAATTAGAACTGATTAATATTTAAACATTTTTCTAAGTAACAATATTAAAATAGGAGAAGAGTAATGAAATTTAAGTAAAGGACAAGTGAACCATGTGCATTATGCTTATATGGTCGAATCTCAGGTGAGACTAAAATCTGAAGACTTCTTCTCTCCATCAACATTAAGGATTCACTTTTTATTCCACTCTTAAGATGACAAAATTTCCTTCTGAATTGTGAGCATTATTATCTATTAGTTACTTCATATTTAAAAGTATAAAATTAGGATATGTTTTAAAAATTATTTAAATCATCATTGCAGGTATTACTCTTATCTCTGTGAAATCTGAACTAAAAAGACCAGCCACTGATAAAAATTTTAAATAGGTAATAAAAATGCATCCCATATTGCATGTTGCTAAAAGTATTTTGTCAGAGTAATATTAAAAGTACTATAGCCATTTTACAGAAAGTAGTAATATTTTAACTTAATTAATTACCAGATAAATCTTCAAAACCTTTTTAAAAAATTAAATAATTGGCCAAAGAGTTATTGCTATACTTATACCAAAAAATGTATTAAATCATTGATTGTAATTGCTTGTCTACTCTTACCAAAATGTGAAAGATCTCTCCCTATAGTATATGGGGGTGGGGGGGGAACACAACACAAAGCACAACATCCAAATGAAAACTAACATCTGAACTTCATAGATATTATAAAATAAGAAACTAATTGGTCAAATCTGGGGATGAAATCAAAACACAAGAAAAAGAAAACCCAACCCACTTAACTTGACATTCATTTACCTCTGGTGGCGCAGAGGGTGGTGGCGGAGGTGGATCTTTGATAACCTAGGGAAAAAATATCAAATATTAATCTTTAAAGACATTAGAGAAAATAAGAATGTATAGAAAGAATTCAAAACTCAAAGTTATTGCCATCAAAATTGGAACCAAATCATAGCTAACCTTTCAGCAGATTTTTCAAAAGGCTATATATTGCACAGAAGGAGATTTCCCAGTGTCTTCTGAGGAGCCAACGGTAGCTGCTGCCTTTGTCTTAGGAGGCCAACTCCCTAGAGACTACACCATCAGAGCTCCCAGTAGAGTCATGGGTAGCTTAAAAGATGTCTGTCAAGAAGCATAGTCTCCCAGTATTTATGCCCATCTTTGAATCTGTGCTGCCTTGTGACTTTTGATCAATGTAACGAGGCAGAATTAACAGCAAAACATTTTTGTGGTTAGGTCAAACGTTTCTTTTGACCTAAATCCCAATGAGTAAGAATAAATTCAACAAACAACAATAGCTTTGGAACATTCAATCTAGGGAAAGGCAGTCACTCCACTAAGAATATACTTTATGATGGTCTTCATTGAAACTCCATTGAAATGTTTAATACAGTCAGGCTATTATATAATCATGGTGACAGAAGAAATTTGGCCAGTCCTAGCTGTTGGAGTCATTATGGTTGAGGTGCCAGACATGTGAGTGGAGAAGTCACTGCAGACAATTAGCTCAGTCCAACTATCAGATGACTTCATGCCTTCTGACACCTGCCAACTACATGAAAGACCCTCAAGTGAGACAATCTTCTAGCTCAGCCAGTATTCCCATATGTCTCCAAGAGCAATACAACTCCGTTTTAACTTAGGTACAAATTATTAAGGAGAACTAGATAAGACTTGGGGTTCATGGAGTCAATTCAGAATCATGGTGACCTCATGTACATCAGAATAGAGCTACACTCCACAGACAACACCACTTAACTGTGGTGTCAAGAGTTTGCCCTTCAACATGTATCCATTGGCTTTCTTTGCCTTGTGGATGGCCTTGAATATGCAAATAAGATGTGTCAGCCTATGCACCAGGGGATTGGCTAGTCTCACCATTAATATGAGCAGATTCAGTGGCAGAATTGGAGCAACCTCATTACTAGCAAAGAGTATGTAAGATAAAACAACACCTCATTAAGATTCTTTTCCAGCTGGACAAGGCCTACGGGAGCAGCAGCTATACACCCTTAGAAGAAAACCAGACACTTGACATGACTGTTACACAACTGAACCAGGGCTAACAGTCTTTTGCCCAAATTTGTTGGAGGACTAGGGAGTAGGGGAGAGTCATAACTGGCAGGACTGGGAGCTTTATAACCCTGGGCTAAAGTCATAGGTTCAAGGCTGATGTGCCAGTGAGCACATTTCAGTTGTCATCACTTCATTCTGCTACTAATCTGAATTTTGGCCTTTTTACTGGCTTAATATAGCTCTATGTGGTTGATGAGCTATCATATAAGAAAAGATAGGTCCAATAAAACAGAATATTAGTGTTGAGATGAGCAGAAAGAAGTCCAAGAGTGTGGTGTGCATGTCTGACATTGTGGGAATTGGTTTTGTGTGGTTGATATTGTTCATGGGACAGTTCCCCTCTGTGGTATGATGAAGGTCAATGTGGCTGTCACTGCTCCTTTTACATCAACTAATCACAATATTCTCACACATTCATTCCTTTCATCCTTATTTTATCATATAGATAAGGAGAGTGCTGTCTCAGTGGTTGCTTCTTTTTTTTCCGCTTGAAAGACCTAATTCTGTCTCTTCCTGGCTTATCTGTCAGTGGAGGTTTGGATGGGCTATGATGCTGAAAAAGAGTCAAGGGAGATAACCTGGGGGACAGCCCAATAGCAGCAAACAATGTGAGATAGGTAGACAGGTAGACAGATAGAGAGAGAGATATTTCATCACTTCCACAAATTTCTTCTGATGCCAAATCCAAACATTTTCTACTAATTACCATATATTTCCTTTCAATAAGATAGATATTTACTAGCAAAATCTTCCTGACTCATTGACATTTTTCATATATTGGTAACAAAAGGCAAGCTTGCATGGATAAGATGGATATGAAAAGGAATACACACACACACACACAAACATACTCCTCACAAACTTATCTCCATATTTAGTATTTCATTTACTATAAACATGAAAATTCTACTCTCTGACTGTTGTGTGTGCCCATAAGATGCCAAAATGAAGGAAACAGCAGGAGGTGGTGGTGGAGGAAGTTGGTAAGGAGTGAAGCCTGGCAACTGGCAGCTATTCTTATAACCAGAGTTGGATATATAAGAGCTGGAACATGCTGGCAAAAAGTACAGGGTGAGTAAGTGATATGGAGGATACAGGAGGTGCTAGACCATGAGGAGTCAGTGGAAGCCAAAGTCACAGGAATTAAGCAGGAGCAATGGAAGTATCTTCCTTCAAAAGGTCTATCTATCACCTCCATAGACTCAGTCAGTCCTTCATGGTCAGACCTCACCTGCCTACATTCCTGGGAACCCGCACCACTGATGCCTGTTTTGGGGGCCCAGGAGAGGGAAAATACAGAGGTAAGAAGGCAAGGGGTAAGGTAAGTCTACTGTTCTGGAGCTGAGCAAACCTCAATCATCAGCACCACCATCACTCCCAGCAGGTTCTGTGGTGGTGGGGAAGTTGTGATGGGATAAGCCATGAACACCTTGAGGTATGCCAGGGGTCATGACGGGACATGAGGGATGTGGAAGAGTGTGATCTTACCCAGGAATTTTCAAATAATAACCTCATTTTTGGAACTTAACCATGTTGCTAAGTAAGGAATATATTTATTCTCTTTCTTCATCTTTTAGTCTGGAAATATATTTTTATCCAAGATTATTTTCCTGTGAATCACTATTTCGTACCTCTTTTCATGAAATCTTAGATGGCTAACTCTTTCTTTGAGAGGAAATGAAACCCATTTAAAATCCTGTCCTGGTTAGAGTACATCTAAACTTTTAAATTATGATGACAGAAAACCTTTGACCAAGTGTAAGCAGCTTCTTGTAATTCAGGCATACTTGCATGTATAAGAAAAAAATCACTGTATGAAAATATAACTGCTTCACTTCATTGAATGCTAAATCTTTCAATTAGGTTAAACTTTGGGAAGTTTATAATAACAGCAACTTTGGAAATTAAAACCTACAGAAATTATTTAGGTTTATTAGTACTATCATGAGAATGTCTTTAAAGAACTGCTTACTTTTTGAAGGTATATATTGAAATATCATCAGGTTGAAGGATTTGATTCTGGGGAACTAAGCAAAATAGTCTGAAGTAGGAAATAGGAGGTATACATGAAGTACGATTGATCACCACAGGTTGATAATCATTGAAACTGTGTAATGAGGATGTGAGGGATTTATTACATTAGTATTTCTATAAATATTTGAACTTTTTCATAAGGTTGTTTTTCTTATTGGCTGTTAAGTCACTTTTGACTCAAGAACTCTACACACAACAGCTCTGAATCCTGCCCTTTACAGAGCCGGCCTCACTGCTGGGACACATCTACCCCTTTGACTGTGTCAATCCATCGCATTTAGGGTCTTTCTCTACTGTGCCACTATCCCTCCCCCTTTCCAAGCATGAAGTTCTTCTCCAAGGACTGGTCCCTCTGGGCAACATCTGCTGTCAGTCTATGGTATGTTCAACACTCTTCTCCAGCATCACAATGCAAAGGCATTGATTATTCTTCTATTATCTTTGTCATTGTCCAGACTCTGATGCATACGAAATAAATGCAAAGACATGGCCCAGATCAGGCACACTTTAGACTTCAGACATCATTGCTCTTCAGCACTTAGGAGAGGTCTCTGACAGCAGATTTACCCAATGCAATTTGGCTTCTTATAGCCTGACTGCTGGTGCCAAGGGTGTTGATTGTAGAACTGAGCAAGCTGAAATTGCTAACAATCTCAGTCTCTTATCTATCTATAATGATGAGGTCAATTGGTCTAGTTGTAAGAGTCTTTGTTTCCTTGTTGTGGAGCTTCAATCCATATTGGAAACTGCAGTCCTTGGCCTTTTGCAGCAAATGCTCAAGTCCTCTTCTGTTTTGCAAGTAAGGTTGTTTCATGTAAATAATGGAGGTTGTTGAAGAGTCTTTCTTCCAATCCTGATACCACATTCCTCCTCATAAAGTCTAGCCTCCCAAATGATCTGTTCCATATATAAACTGAAAAGGTATGGAGTTAGATGCATCCCTGATGCATACCTTTCCTGAACCTGTACTGTTCTGATTACTGCTTCCTGGTCCACGTATAGGTTTCACACGAGCACAATTAGGTGTTTTGGGATTCCCATTCTTCTCAAGGTTAGCCACAAATTGTTGTGATCAACACATTCAAAGGCCTTTCTTTGCACAGTCAATGTAACACAGATAGACATTCTTCTAGTATTCTTTGCTTTCTACCAAGATTCATTTGACATTGGCAATGATGTCCCTCGTGCCAGAGCAGATGATAAGTTGGAACTACCATTCTTTGGGTTGGCAAATAAAACTTACCCATTACTCCACCAGAGTTCCTTTTGCCCTGAAGAGGTAACTCTCATTTTCTTTCCTAGCATTCATCATAGTTTATCAATTTATCTCTATCTAAAAACTGATATCTATGAGGATACATTTTCTGATTGTGTTCATTCTCACTATATTGTTGGTGTTAGCGAGTTGAGTGTGATCTAAAGTGATCCTATGAATTATATATTTGAACTCTGGTCTTATCCTGTGGCATATTTCAATCTCCAAAACACCAGAGCCCATTGCAGCAGCCACTATGTCAATCTACCTGGTTGATAGCCTTCCTCTCTTTCACTGTCCCTCCACCTCCCGAAATATGTGAGATGAAGCTTTATTATCTTTACTTCAAATGAGCACTCTGGCTGCACTTCTTCAAGATATACTTTTTTGATCTTTTGGCAGTCCATGCGATAGTCGGTACTCTTCACCATCACCACAACTGAAGATATCAATTCTTCTATCATTTTTATTCACTGTC